CTTTTACAATTGTAATATTATTCTTCGTGATGATTTAACTCCAGTCCCCGTTAAAACATTATTAACATTTTGCTTTCAAATTACTTCAAAACATCTTTCAAAATATAACTTACCAGTATGGATGCACACTTTTAAAATAATTCTACTTTAATTAACACTTAGGAGATAATATAATCAATTAATCAATACTGTTTAGGAAATAAATTATTATTAACTAACTTTGCAGCAATTGCGCAAGTAATAATAACTTGTATTCGCACTAAATGGATTTAAGTTCATACAACATTTGATATGCTAAATAGCAGCTATTAGCGCTATTTATCTCTTACCTAATGTACCCACTTTATATATTATCTCCAACCTTTTTAAGTTTTAAAGTTTTATACAAAAACTTTACTTTACTGTATTGAAGGTTAGCAGCCTCCTTACTTTTATATCTTGCTAGTTTAACTCATATTGAAATCACTAAATGTCATTCCACTAGATGACAAACTTGAAAATTTAACGCCATGCCTGCTACAGATAAACCCAAAAAACAATTTCTATGAAAAACATTTAACTGTATTTACATGATTACATGCGGTACTTGACATATTAAATATATAGGACAGACTAAAAACAATCTTAACTTTCGAATCAATAACCATAGAGCTCAAATCAAAAAATTCAACGCACAAAAAAATAACATTAAAATAAGTACACCATCACAACTTAATACAGCAGAATGAGAACACTTTAAACACCATGACTTCAAGAAGAAAGAAGGATTTGTGTTTCACTGATCTCGCCACAAAAGAAAGGCTGCCTAAATCTTAAGTTTCAATCTAACATCTGATTCTAAACGCTCTAACATCTAGATGTAGCAAATGTAAATACGAAGAGGATTAATGATCAATGAATGTGTTCCTTGCATGTGTTCAACAAAAGTTCTATGCCTTTCCAAAGATATCAAGATGGAAGTATTAGAATTGTGTATAAAGCTTTTTACAAATATATGGAATCTAATATTCTTTTAATAAGTGATAATGTGCAAATTTCTTGAAACTTAAATAAAAGCCAGCAAAATATTTTGAATTAAAATTCATGTCGAAGCTACAGAATATCCTTGAAAAGACAACAAAATTTTTCTTTTACAAATTTTAAACCCTTTAAAACCATATTATCAGAGAGTTCTAATTTAATTCCTTAAATTAATCATCTTATTGAGAACATGAAATTACACTGTGATATGCCTCTATACACAGGAAATCACTGTCCCAGTACTGTCAGACATTTGCATTTGTTTCAAACATTCAGTTTTTCTTAAAATTTTATTGTCCCATATATTTCAGTTTTATTTCTTTCATAACAGAGTTTTACACCAAATACATTTATACTTGAGTTTTTAGATAATTTGATTTTTATATTACAATGTTATATATACCAAAATTAAATTAACTGAATTTTATTCCACAATTTTTAAGTAAATAATTTTATGCATGTAGAGAGAATTCATTTTGCACACTATTATAGTTTTGCTAATTACTTCATATACATTGCATCTTCATGATATTTATATACCATGATATTTACATACCACATAAATAATAAGCCACTTCTAAAATATTTTGAAAAACACGTTATTTAATGTAACATATCTACATACCACATAAATAATAAGCCACTTCTAAAATATTTTGAAAAACACGTTATTCAATGTAACATATCAGAAAACAGACTTATAATATCGCAAAAAAGATGCAAAAAAGTATATAATACATTTTAATCATTACCTGATGCTTCTTTGCTAATAACCCTTTGTAATGTTCGTTGTAATAGATTTGTTTTGCACTCTAAAAATATAATTATTATTATTAAAAATACAAAATGTATTCTCTTAAAACAGCAAGCATGTAGGTCATATAAATTTACAACTAAAATAGCTATTGTATAATTAATAACTAACTTTTCTCCTTTGCAAAACGTATCAGTAGTTAAGCTAATGATATTGGTAACATCTATATTTTGATTAGTATATACAGTCAAAGGTCTTTAATCCGGACTCGTACGGACTCTGGCAAATTCCGGATTTAAAGGGTATCAAAATTTACAAAAAAAAGCTTAATATTTATTTGTTTACTTTATTAAACATTTCTTTCAACGCGCACTTGTGTAAAGCACACATTACGCATAGTCGAAATTAGAAAATTGCAACCAGAAAACTATTTGATTTGTATTCGTGATATTTATAATGACGAGGAATTTGATTTAAATCACATCAAAGACGGAGTACATCGAGATGAAATACTAAGGAATTGTAGCCGAATAAAATAAAAACGTCTGCCCTGAAGATAAGGATAGTGCTGACAGATCAACTTCCAGTTCATTGTGCGCTGCGACGTCCCCCCCCCCCCCGGGCCACAGAGCAGCACGAAATTGATAAACGGATTTCGGAATGGTTAGAGAAACAAAAGAAATGCCTTTATCCATTTTTTACAGCAATTCCACTTTTTGTTTGATGGACATCAAAACATGCTTTCGCTTTGTAGATCCTTTGGCAGCTCAAGAATCGGAAATTCTTTTTGACATAATCGAAAGTTCAAGCTTACTTTTATAAAATTGCTCTAACAGTCTGCAAAAAATAATAAGCCGGATACAATTAGAAGATTAAGAAACAACGCAATCAGCAACATTAACTGAAATAGATAATTAGATAAGTTTAGCTTAGCTTATACCGCCGTTATACATTAAACGCGCATGCGTAAACGCATTACGCTTTTACGGATGCGCAGAAAGATTGTAGCTTTGAGGTCCGGATTATAGATCATTCCGGATTATGGATATTCGGATTAAAGACTTTTGACTGTATGAGTAAATTCTAATCAGAGTGAATGACACTTAATACATGCCTGCACCTAGTTTATGAGTAACTAAATAACTTTCAAAAAGGGAGCAATATTGTATGAGGATGAGATTTTAAATGTAGTAATATAAGATAAAAACTAAAGTGCTTAAAAATCAGCAAAAAAAAAATCTTTAATTAAATCAATATCAGATTTGCACAGAATGCTTTGACAAGGCATATCTCGACTCCAAGACAAGAAGAATCAAATTCAAACTAAAAATATGGATTAGCGGTCAAAGACTATACAATTTAATTTCAAATTAATCTGGTCAGTAACTCTATTGTCATAATAAACTCAAATGTCAGCAGCAGTTATGGAAAGACTAATAATTACAAATTATCAGAGCTGACAGAACTAGGTCAGAAACACACTCGTCTTACACTCTAAAAACCTCAGTTTAAAAACTGTCTAAGTGATTTGCATTCTGGTGAGGAAATAGAAATGGGAAATTATAGTAAAGGCTGAAACTGTAAACAACTAGGTAATTTACGTAATAATAACTGTACATATTCATTTGAAGAATAGTTTTCTTTCTCTTTACATATTTAGTTTCTTTTTTCAACAAGTTTCCTTTTCACTTTAAATTTTTGGCATTTAATTAAAGACTTCTGTTATCCTAAAAGACTAAATGCATTTAGAATGCATGGAAAAAGCTGCTAATTTTATTTCTTTAGTAATACGAACATTCAGAAGAAATATGAAATACATATGGTAAAGTCTGGTCACAGAGCTGGTGTGGCATTAGAATTTAGGGACGCACTGAGCAACAAAATCTAGAAATGGCAAAACTTTTAGAATTTAGAGCAGGCATTGGAAGCAGAATTTATAAAGGCACCAAGCAGCAGAATTTAGGATCCACAGAGACTGCGTCAGGTGTGTCAGTTTTCAATTTCTTTATTAATAAAAAATTCCTTTCTATAATGTCTGTCCATATCATAAGATTAGAAGTACTCTTGATATTTTTCATGCTTGTATCTAGTGAAAAGTAGAGAAAATAAAGGGAAGATAAAAATATTAAGAAAGTGATTCTAGAATCAGAAGTAAAACATTCAAGTATTATGTTTTCATTGTTTTTCCAGATGTTCTCCAAAATGTAAGAAACTGCGTGTTACTACCATGGAGACATTTTTCATTTTATCACATTTTCCTGGAATCTTTTAGAATTGTGGGTCTATAAATTTGCCTTAAAATCTTTCTAAACTTTCCAAGCTTCAATGTCTAAAATCCTAAAGAAAAATTACCCCTACCAATTCTGTAACAGAAAAAAGCCAGAAATGTTTTTTTAAAAAAATCGGAGGAAAAAAGTGCAAAATTAATTTTATAGAGAAAACTGATGCATTTTCTGAGAATTCTGAGAAATGGGAAAAATTTTAACATGAAAAAATTAAAAAGACATTTTTAATTAATTACATAGCTATTTTGCTTTTGCTAAAAACTGTTTTGTAAACTGTGCTTTATAGCATTATTACTTGCTTATTTTTCAGATTAAAAAAATTGTATAATATGTGGCCAAAATGGAACTTTATAATATGACAGTGAAAAATAAAAATGCTTTATTTTAATGTTATTTCTTAAATATAATTCCAATATATTACCTTTATTTTAATGAAATTTAACAATGTTAGAATGTTCTAAAAAAATCGTCAAGAAATTCCCAGATCTCGGAATTAAAAATTTTCTACAGAAACCAATCTTAAAATCGCCAAAATGTTGATAATCGTCAAATTTAGAACCATTTAATAAAAGATTTCACATCCCCAAAAGCGGAAAGTTGTTTGAGAGCTCTTCATTACAAAAATGAAATAATTTTGAAATGCTTATGTTTCACTTCTTGCTCAGAAACTTGAGTATCCCACCATTATTTATATTACAAATAGGAACAAATTATAACTCATGAACCCATTCAAAAAATAGCCATATTTGTTAGTGAATCACCAAAAATATTCCTGCAAAATGCTAATTCACACCCAAAATGGCAGACGTAAAAACAGACAGAAATTTCAGATGATTAAAATTAAGGACTTTCTGCCAATTTTGGCCAAAATTAAGGACTTTTAAGGACCAAAAATTAATTCCAAAAAAGTTAAGGACTTTTAAGGACTCTTAAGGACCGTAAGAACCCTGAATAATAAAAAGGAATTGGATATAAATCAGACACGCGAATGATTATATTAGCACATGGAGATTTAAAGAGCCCACCTCTGTTTAATCTTTCCCTCCCCCCGACTCTCTCAACAGTTGATGAGTAAAACAAAAGTCGGGCAGAATATATCAAACTCAAGGTCAGGAACCTAAAACTGTGTTCATTTCAAAAGTAATGGACATAAGATGCCATCTAGTGGTCTTCAGAAAAATGTTCCAGCTTAAAATGCATATATGCATCACTCGTCTTTTGAACGCAATCTCTAGTGATGCGTGGATGAGACACCCAGCTGTAAGAGACATTCTTAAGGAATGCATATATGGGATGCCCGTCCTGAAAGGGTTAAGGTTCCAATAAGCTACTAAAGCACAAGAGGTGATACCTTGTTTTTTTATTATTTTAAGTCTCACAAGATTAAAAAAATAAGTTTTACATCAATTTTTGCATTTTTTTGTTTTACCTTGTGACCACGGTAAGGATTAATAAAAGGCAATAACTCAATTAAATATACAGAGATAATTAAGGGTAAGCAGTTAGTTATAAGTAATTAAATTAAGTAGTTAGATAACCTTAGTTATTATGGATTTGCATGGCCACTATTAAATAAATTTTATTTATTTTTTAACAATATTTGTTAAAAAAGCCCTATTAAAATCACAATCTAATAAAATTTCACAGTTAAAATACATGTAATTTATGACATTGATTCTTAAACGATATTAGGATAATACACATTAAAAGCTACAAAACATTCATCTTTTGTAGCAACAACACTCAAAAAATATTATGCATCTTTTTAATTTGAAGCCTTCTCAGATATTTTGGTTAATATATATATTGATTTCCTTCTCTTTAAGCATCTTTTCTAACAATCAGAAATTTGTGTCAATACGCAAACCAACATTCTTACTAGTCTCTGCGTACTCTATGTCCTAACTTGTCAACCTCTCCATGAGAGTTTACTTGACATGGCAAAAGTTAAATATTTTTAACCCCCCAAAAGACGTGAAGCAAATTATTGCTATCTCTGAAAGTAACTACAGAGGTTTAAATAAGTCTCTTATTTAAAAAGGACTTAAAACATACAGGCAGGTTCTTTTGCTAACAAAATCAATTACAACTCATGGTGATGCAATTAAACAAGAAGAGTCAAATTCAAACTAAAAATGTGGATTAGTGGTCAAAGACATTAGACATTTTAAAGGAGGAAGGATAAAAAATGAGCAATGCCCTCAACTGGGATTCGAGCCACGGTCCTCTGGATACACGCCCAGTGTGCTGGCCACTAGACTATGAAGGCATGCTAAGAAGGTGGGAGAAATACCTTATATACTCTCCCTTTTAAAGGGCAACTGAGGTTTTAGAGGACCCAATCGCCAAATCTTGGTAGTGGAGAATCATCCACCACCCTTTTAGTTCGCTGCCACTGTAGAGACATTGGGTATTTTAAAGCAGGAGGGATGAAAATGAGCAATGCCCTCGCCGGGACTCGAACCACGGACCTCTGGATACATGGCCAGCATGCTGACCACTACACTATGAAGGCATGCCAAGAATGTGGGAGAAATACCTTATAATACAATTTAATTTTAATTTAAGTTGGCTCAGTAACTCTATCGTCATGACAAATTCAAATGTCGGCAGCAGTAATGCAAGGGGAGCAAGCGGAGGTCAGAAACACACTCCAAAAACCTCAGTTTAAAAACTGTCTATGTGATTTGCTTTCTGGTGAGGAAATAGAAATGGGAAATTATAGTAGTGGCTGAAATTATAAACAAGTGAGTAATTTACATAATAATAACTGTACATATCTTTGAAGAATGATTTTCTTTCCCTTTATGTATTCAGTTTCATTCTTCCACGTTTCCTTTTCATTTTAGAATTTCTGGATTTAATTAAAGAATTCTGTTATTCTAAAAAAATTAAATGCATTTAGAATGTATATAAAAAGCTGCTAATTTTATTTCTTTAGTAATATGAAATATATATGGTGAGGTCCGGTTACAGAGCTGGTGTGGCATAAATTTTAGAATTTAGTGACACATTGAGAAACAAATCTAGAAATAGAAAACTTTTAGAATTTAGAACAGGCATTGGAAGCAAAATTTGGGATCCACAGAAGCTGCATCAGGTGACAAAATGCCTAGTGCCAGCCTTGTGTACAAAAGACATATTGGATTAATCATTGAAATTGTCAGTTTTCAATTTCTTTATTAATAAAAAATGTCCATATGATAAGATTAGAAGCATTTTTGATATTTTCCCTACTTGTGTCTAGTGAAAAGTCAAGAGATTAGAAAAAATGAAATAATTTTGAAATGCTTATGTTTCGTTCTTGCTCAGAAACTCGAGTATCCCACCATTTATATTAGAAACAGAACAAATTATAGACCATGAACCCATTCAAAAAATAACCATATTTGTCAGTGAATCGCAAAAAATATTTCTCCAAAACACAAACATTTACACTCAAAATGGCAGTCCTGAAAACAAACAAAAATTTCAGATGATTAAAATTAAGGACCTTCTGCCGATTTTGGCTGAAATCAAGGACTTTTAAGGACCAAAAATCGATTCCAAAAAACTAACAACATTTAATGATTCTTAAGAACTGTACGAATTCTGATTTTAACATATCATCAGTTAGCAGTGTTATTACCCCAAGACAAAAAAAAAAAAAAAAAAAAAAAAAACTCATACCATTATTCGAGTCAAATTCTTCTTTAGGATAGAGTAAAACATAAATTATTTTCAATGTCATTTGTACTACAACAACAAATTCACATATCTGATCCTTCGCTAGAAAAAGAAAGAATGAAATAAGTAATGAGAACTAACTAGTAATGAACACTGAACTAAAATTTTTATTTCTGATTTTATTCATCACATTCTATTATTAGAAAAAAAAATTCTTTAAATCTACATTAGGAATATTTATCTCTAAAAGTTTCATTATATTACGATGACTATATAAATTAAATTTTTCAGCAAAAATTCAAAATGTTTCTAAAATGAATGCTTGAATTATGTGAATAAAATTCAAACATTTATCTGATTCTTACCATACTTTTCTGGACGAAATACTGACTTCAATACATTCTAAATGGGGAAACAAATGTATACATACATCAGGAATTTTTAATTAAGTAAAAATGTTAAAAAAATACCATTTTTAAAACTAATTTTTCATTACAACTAATTTTTAATTAAAACAAATAATTTAATAATAAACATCAAAACTTTAATAACCATACCTTTCGCACTTCTAAAATTTCCATAAAAACTTCCTCTAATGATGAATTGGACAATAAAGAAGAACAACACATTGGACCTACAACATTCTATAAGGTTTCAATTAAATTAATAACAGCAGGAAAATGCAATTTTAAAAAAAAAAAAAAAAAAAAAAAAAACATAAAAAGAATTAACTAAACTTGGAGAATATCGTCACAATATTTTAAATATTTACCTCTGGTTCAATATTTTCTGTTTCTAGTATTCGCTGGCAATTCTACAAGATAAAAAATTAGATGAATTTAGAAAAATATAATTAGAAATGTATCTATATTTTTATTTATTAAATGTGTTTCTAACATGTGTATTATGAAGACATAAACATTATTATCAGTTCTAAGATTCCCTTGGATATCAGAAATATATTCAATTCAACTAAATCTCTTTATGCATTGCTTGATTCTAAAGGACTTTCATCTCCAAGAAAATTTAACATAAATCATAAATTAATTTAATTTTTTAAGAGAACTAAATCATTCGCTGAATTAACTCCTTTAATTTATGCACTGAAATTTTGCATGGCTTACTTAAAGCATTTACTAAGTAAACTCTAATTTATTTATCCCTGTATTTTATTATTTTTATGTGATTACAAAAAAATCAAAACAGTATTAATTAGATCAGATTTCTTCAATCTGGGTAAAACACACAAGAATGAAGGGCAGTCCTTATGATTTAAAATATGCTCTTTTCAATCAAAGAAATAAGAATATATGGAGCAGTCTTCCTTGCAGTCAATGTGAAGTCAAAAATGGGAGAAAGGCTGGGCCAAAATTCTGGAGTATTGTGAACACCCCATGGTTTGTACAAAACACAGAAATTCACAGGGACTTATCGTGATCTTAATTTAGTTTTAAAGTTCATTCTTCATATAGCATATCTCAAAGGTTAAACTCTTTGATGAAATATCCAACCTTTGCTAACCACCATATCAACATGGTCAAAAAGTAACATTTTAAAGTTCATTCTTCATATAGCATATCTCAAAGGTTAAACTCTTTGATGACATATCCAACCTTTGCTAACCACCATATCAACATAGTCAAAAAGTAACAGTAAGGCATATATATTAAAAAGTTATTTTTTAATTAACACTCCTTTTTTTTTTTTTTTTTTTCAAGTTAATTCTAATGTTCTTCAATATATACTTTCTAAAACTATTCTAAGTTCAGACCACATTAGAAAACGGCATTTTCCATAAATGATAAAAAGGGATTAAAAACAAGAACTATGGCAACACATATGATTTTTATTAATTAACTATGCACAATATAAAAATTACAACGCAAATGATTTAAGAATTACTGAATAATGAAAAATACTTAACTTTATTAAAAAAAAATTATGTACTCGCCTGCATTAAAACATATCTCAGATGATTTACAGATGTCCACTGCCTTTTAATAATGGGAAATTGCACAGATATCCTTTGTTCTTGGTAAACAGGATCCAACATGAGCAGAGAATGAGTATGACGAGCTAACAAGAATAAGGAAACAGCACTTACAAAATCTTCATTCTCAATGGAAGACCATATCTAAAAAACAGATTATGTTTAAATTAATTTTTTTTAATATTCCAAGAAATTTTACGTATTACAAATTTTCAAAAGAGAATATTTTATATTTGAGCTACTGAACTTACTTTTGTTGGGCAATCCATTAAAATTTTTATTTGAGAAGCTATTATGTATAGTAATTCATTTGATTTCCTTCTGAAAAAAAAAAAAAAAAATCAGAAACGATAGATTTGAGTTTTAAAAAAATGCAATTAATTTGCTCTCAGATACTTTCCATAAGTCAGAAATTAGTTTTAAAATGAGCATATATATCTTAACCATCCCGCTGCAGACTTTTTTTTTTTTCTTTCCCTTCTTAGGAGCAAACTCAGCAGAGTTAGTATATCTTCTAAAGGTTTATTATAAGAAAATTTAATGCAAAAGCCAAAGAAGAAAAATGTAAGTAAGAAAAACAAATATTTTTGCTTATTCATTTACTACTAGTCAGAAATGTGAATATTCTTTTCATAAAAATATAGAAAATATATACTTTAAGCCAATATTGCAATCTTAATTCTGAATTCTTATTTTCCTTATTAGCCCACACTCTTTTTTAAAGCAACAATAAAAATTTTATGATTTAACTTTTCACATGAAATAAAGTACAAAAGAATTACACAATACCTTTTGAATAATTAGATTATTTATAGAAAAAATTTAGAAAATAAAACATTTCCAAAAGCCAATATTATTTAGAAATTATAGGCAAAATAAAATCTTCCTGCATTCAAACACATAATAAAGCTCACTCAGCAGGGAAAAAATTTTCTTTCTGCTCAGATGTTCTAAAAATTCAAAAGAATGTAATAACAACATGACTTCACCCATGGCTAGAGGGTTAAAAAAAAATTAGTATCACTTTGCTAAAAAAAAAAAGGTTTATTCCTTAAAGAACCTTTGAAATTTTACAAATATCTTATACATAATCTTTGATCCAGCAGACATGTTATCCAAGTCCTGTTCATTCTCTCACAAAAAACCAAAAAAAAAAAAAAATTGTTTCAAAAACTCTCTGCAACCAACTGCACTCACAAGTGCTTTTGGCATGATGCAGAGAATCTCAACCTTGGACCAGACTTCTATTCACTGGCAGGTACGTCTTGACTATGGCTTCTTGATTGCCCAGAGGCTGGATTATTTAGAATATGGTAAAGTGCAAATAAGGGCTATCTGCCAAAGGGAAGAGATGGCTTTGTGAGAGGCTTTTTCAGAGAAACTGCCTCATATTCATGTTGCACATACGGGAAAATAAAAAAACTATCATGCAGCCAGCCTGTTTGCTAAATTTTGAGCCAAGGTTTTACTTTGTTCCTTGGCCGACAGAGGGCCCACTCAGATGTATAACATATCTATTATAGATAACTACATCCCAAAATTATCTTATTTTAAATGCCACCTTGCACGGTCATTTTTTTTAGAAATAATAATACTAATAATTTTTAAAAAAACCTTTATTCTCTTAATTCTGAACACATTAATGCATTTGAGTTAAAGATATCATTATGCTATTTTAACACAAAGTATATTTGAGATTTACATATAGCACTGCGATAACATACATACTTCAAGGGCAAATCAGTTTTTTTTCTGAAAAGATGTTGTGTGTTTTTTCCATTTTATAATTACCGTAATTTTCGGAAGAAACGGCGCAGTGTTTACATGTTTAAAACTTAAATTTTCAGCGGGTGTGGCGTTTCTACCCATGCGGCGTTTAGGTGCACTAAAAATAAAATATTTCCTATGATGATCATTGTACATAGTTTGAATAACCTTGTCATTGTACATAGTTTGGATGGCCTTGTCATTGTACATAGGTTGGTGCTGTTTCCACGCAAAAGACCACTCAGTTGCTTTTTGCGAATGTTATTTTGTTTACATTCTTTCCCTTAAACAGACCTACATGCCTTATTCACCCTAAACCGGATCTCAGAACAATAACATTCTTCCCGCTTTTTAAATCAGCATTCTCATCAGTTTGAATAACCTCTCTCCTCTGCCATTTGATGAATCTTCCAGGACCCATCCTCTCCCCACCCCTGCCTTTTTCTGCAATTTTTTTCAAAGGCAGACACGACTCCACCTGCCTCTCGCAATAACAAACTGAACTCTGAGACGTATTTTCCCTTCAGCATGAATTGATTTTTCTTGGCATTCTGCCAGATACAGATCCCATCAGTTTGGATACAAGTACTTGTTGGATAGTTTTTCAGTAAGAAGGAAGCGGAAATTTTTTGAAAATGGCACCTAAACGGCACAGAAGCTATACTGCTGGTTTTAAGCTTAATGTAATTTCACGTGCTGAACAAATTGGAAATAGAGCAGCAGCTCGAGAGTTTGAAGTGGACGAGAGATGTATTCAATGTTGGAGAACTGAAAAAGAAGAGCTTAAAAATATGCCACAACAGAAACGAGCCAAAAGAAGTGGTACTGTAAGGTGGCAGAATCTAGAGGATGATCTTGCAAACTGGATAAAGGAGCAACGAGGAAAGGGAATGGCAATTTCGACTATAAAAATTCGCTTATAAGCAAAATTTATAGCAAAACAAATGAACATAAATGATTTCAAAGGAGGGCCTTGCTGGTGTAGCAGATTTATGAAAAGAAAAAATATTTCTGTGCATACTAGAACAATAGTCGGGCAACAATTACCAATGGACTGGCAGGATAAAAAGGCATCTTTTCAAAAATATGTGACAGATATTATTGACAAAAAAAACTTCTTCGGTCACAGATAATAAATATGGATGAAACGCCATTAGCCTTCGAACAGTTGATGAAACAGAACTGTTGATGAAACTGGTGCAAAAACTACATCTGTGCTTACGAAGGGGCATGAAAGAACGTCATTTACATGTGTGTCAGCTTGTGCTGCAAACGGTGACAAGCTAAAGCCGATGATCATTTTTTACGAAAAACTATTCCGAAGGGAGATTTTCCTAATGACGTAATTATTTGTGCAAATGAGAATGGCTGGATGTGCTAAACAATCATGCATGAGTGGCTACAAAAAGTTTGGCAGTGTCGTAAGAGATCTTTTTTCCCAACCAAAAGGGTTATTGATAATGGATTCCATGCGTGCTTATTTACTTGAGTCAGTGAAAACCAGATGTCAAAAATTGTCTATGACCATACCAATTTTTTTTTCCGTTTTTCTCGTGATTTTTCTCGAGTGCGCCTTTTACGTTGATGCGACCTTTCTTCCGGAAATTACGGTATCTGCCTAAAACTATACCAAAGTATCAAGTTTTATAAAAAATCACGTAAAGCATTTCAGAGGTATTCATATTTTAAATTTGACATTAATTTCAATTTAGTGTTAAGAAAATTTCACTAAATGAATTTCTAGTTTTTATTTTAAACTGCCTTTTTTTTAGTCCAAAGGGACAATTTGCCCTGAAGGACTATTAACCCTCTCACTGCGTACTTTTTTTTCAAATTAGGTTCAAAAATTGAGTTTGAGCTTTTTTTTATTACATATTTCAAATCTACATATATTTTAGAGTTAAAATGTACAAAATTTTTTTGCAAAAGAGTTTTTTTTTTTTTTTTTTTTTTTTTTTTTTTTTTTAATATAGAATTAGATCATAGAAAAGGGTTGTCAGAATATTGAAATTGAAGAATAATGATATAAAAGGAAAATTTTGAAAATAATTATTGGTTAAATTATAATTTATTTTATAAAATACAAAGGTAAAACATATATACTAATGAAAATATTTGCATAATGTAATATTTTGCATATCAATTTTGCACCACTGCACTGATTTTGCATATCAATTTGCACGTTTTCAATAGAAACTGAATTTTCAGATTCATCACTATATGCAGAGGAATCCGACATAAGTTTCTCTTATAACTATCTTCAATATACTTGAAATCAGAGTCAGAACTACTATCAGTGTCGGAAATATCGTCAGGAATATAAGTTATATCACTCGCGAAACGCTTCCTGCCAGACAACTTTGAACTCTGAAAAGCGCACGCAAAATACTATATTACATATTGTATATTTGGCAGAAATGTAGACAACTAACGCCATCTGTTAGAACAGGAAAAGAACAGGTTGCACAGTTAAATAGAGAGCAAAAATTCATCCCCACAGAAATCGCAGGTTGCGCAAATTTTGCTACTTTTACGTCACCTGTGGAAATCACGGGATGCGCAACGAGAAGGTTAATTTCATTTTGTGTTGGTTCACTTTTTAAATTGTTGCAACCAAATATTATCGCTCTGTGTTATATACACTCACTTCCAGAAGTTAAGCACAAAAATGTAAAATGCGAAAAAATCAACAAATACTTTGACACAAAATTTGGCAGGAAAGTAGCATGTATATTTATGCATAAAACAAAATCAATAAATATATAAAGAAATGAAAACAATATAAAATTTTTGTAAGTTATCAGATAATGACATACTGGAGACTTAAACAGAATTATGTATAGAGTGAAAATAAACAGCATAAAATGAAAAAAAAAGGCATTTATAGGGTTTGTGATCCCCCCTTATCTGTATAAAGAGTTTACAGCTTGTGACCATGCTTTCAATTAGGTGGTCAACCACCGCAGAATTAAGTAATCGCCATTCTTCTTGTAGAGCAGTTTCCAGCTCAACAAGAGTTGCTGGAGGTGGGAAACGTGAAGATACAGCACGGCCGAGAGCATTCCAAAGATTTTCAATGGGATTAAGGTCGGGCGAATATGCTGGACACGCCATACGCACAATCCCTTCACTCTTAAGGTAGTTATCGACGATATCAGCTCTATGGGGGACGTGCATTATCGTCCATTAAAACAAAAGTAGGGCCAACTGCTGCAGCGTACAATCTCACAATGGGTTCTAGGACTTAATACTGATACCAGAGAGCCGTCAAAGAACCCCGTTTAAAGGTGTGCAGGTCGATGCGGTATCCTAATGAAATCCCTGCCCACACCATAATGCTTCTGCCTCGGAATGCGTGATGTTTTCGGACTGATTGCGTGTTCGTTGTTCACGCCATATCCTTATATGCTTGTCATCTGGCTCAAGAGCGATCTTGACTCATCAGTAAACATGACATTGCCCCAGTCAGACACATTCCAATTGACATGTTCCTGGCACCACTATAATCGTGCTCCTCTGGATTGGATGGATAGAGGAACACAAACTCAAGGTACCCGGGCATACAGTTCACTCATATGTAATCTTTGGCGTACAGTAGCTGCAAATATTGCCTTACTAATGGACGCTGTTACCATAGATGTCACATGTGTGGAGGTCGCTCTGCGATTTGGCTTGGCTTCAATAGCAATATATCGATCTTCCGCTGGTGTTGTAAACCTTGGGCGACCGGCTACGGGTCTTTGGACAACTGACTGTGTGGTTTAGAATTGTTTCCATAAACATGAAATTACAGAATGATGAACGCTGAAGAAACGAGCAACATCTGTAATCGACTGTTCTGCTTCAGTGCACCCCACAGCCCGCCAGCACTCGGAATCTTCCATTCACCTTCTGGAAGTCATAGAAACACATATGTCTTGAAAACAAATTGTACAAAAAGTTTTAAACACCTTCTATCAACACTTACAATCAACTTCTGTAACCCTTCATAAAGCTGGATTCTTATAATACTGCCTTTTTTTGCATATTTCTTGACATGAAAGTGCGATTTGGCTGTTACCTAACATATTTGCATACTTCCATCTACCTCTGCAGCGAATTGCATCCTCTTCAATTCTGATTGGCTTCCAGAAATTAGCCTTTTCCTCTCCGTGCTTAACTTTTGGAAGTGAGTGTATTTAAATAAATTAAATAATGAAGAATCTCCATAAATGCATGTATGTTTCTTGCATTGGGATAAAACAACGGTACCTATCAAGAGCCATCAAGTTTTGAATAACGTAATCTTCTACCAAATATGGTCATCTGGAAACCCAAATTTGTAATTTAAAATTTGTTTTATTATCGACCATATTTTTAAAAAAATTTTTGATTAACAAACTTTACAATTCCAAAGTGAGAAATGACAACACTGTGGGTTTTTTTTTTTTTTTTTTATCTCCAGCGCGCAAGACTGTGTATCGGAAATTCTAAAGCTTTGCTCATATTAAAATTATTTTGCATTATTGCTATTGAATTGAATTTTATGGTTTAAGTTAAGAATGGTAAGAATTTAGGGTTTAAGTTAAGAACATGATGTTTCACAAATAAAGGTAACACACAAAACATTAAAGAAACGCCCCTTTGTGTGTAATGTAAAATCTGAAAGTTTTCAGTTTTTTTTTTTTTTTTTTTTTTTTTTTTTATGAATAGCTATGGTGTTGAAATCTTTTGAATCTCTCAACTCGGCTTATTAATCCCATATTTTAAGTCCAATATTTTTGTGGTTAAAAGGATACTAAATATATTTAATCTGCTCATTAAAAAAAATTAGAAGACTTCACAGAAATAGGCAGAAGTTTTTTGAAATGGTGTAATGAAGAAAAATTTGATTGAAGTTGTGCTTCTGAAGAATTTAAGACAGTTATGTGGTATTTCCAAGATCAAGAATTTGAATTTTAGTATATGATAAAACATGTCAACAGAGAGTGGAACCATGAAAAATTTTATGTTTAGTCAGGTTTTTTTATCATATCATATGAGAGAGGAATAATAATATTTCCTGTAAAATTCATATTTTGAGTTAATTATTAATTACTAGTTATTATTTAAAATATAGTTACAGAGATATGATTTTTATTATTTAAAATATAGTTATATAGATTGAATGTTATAAAGAACAAAAGGCAACACAAAATAATATTTTTTTTCTTCAAAAACAAACACAGCTGAAGCTGATAAGGATTTGGGGGAACTAATTAACTTAAAGTCTGAGTATTTTGGATTGCAATCTGATATCTAAGTTTGTTAAAGCAAAATAATATATAACTACTTCAGTTTTCTTTCATTCAACTCATAAAACTAAATCCTTAAACCACTGAATAAAATTGAAACTCAACTGAAATGAACTCCAGTTTTAAAAGCTCTGGCATTTGTTTCTCCACTATTTTTTTTTTTTTTTTTTTTTTTTTTTTTTTTTTTTTTTTTTGATTGCAAAATAGAATAAACAAAAGAACACCAGAATATTAAAATGGAGTGTATTACTGTAAGAACAAATGAAGAATTGGATAAAGAAAGTAGCAGTAAAATTTTATCATTACTATTAGATTTTATTTTTTACATCAGATTAATGCCAGTCAAAAATATATGTAATTAACAGTGCAAAGAATGTGCTACAAAATATCATATTTGGCTATAAGATGTAGAAAATATAAAATGTAAAAACTGTTGCTCTCAAAAGCAAACTTTTTCTGAAGCTTTAAAAATAAATTTTTGCTTATATGTATAACAGCACTTAAGACTCTTTGATTTAGATATTTATTAACAAAACCAAAATTTATATATAATCAATTTTTTTTTTGTATGTTCTCAAAAATATTCACATGAAAAACTATAACTAAAAAATTAGCAAATTATAAACTTTCTTTTTTAATGAATATAGTATACATTATTAAAACTACAAGCAGTGGTTTAGAAACTTTATTTATTTTAGCACAACTTACAAAATGTAAAGAAGCTTACTTTTCTGCTACCTTGTCTTGAATTGTACTTAAAATTCCTTTTCGTAAACTACCTTCTTGCAATTCATAACATCTATCTTCAATGGATTTGACCCTATTTTTAACCTAAAATGAACAAAATTCTTATAATAAATCAAAATTAAGATAACATCCACTTTTGAATGTAATAATCATGTTTCAATTTATTACACTTAAGTCAGTATGTAAACATATTAATGTGAATATCATATTGTTAAAATAATTGTCACTATAATATAATATGTTCAAAGTATGACTTTTTCAAACTTACATTTAACAAAAAGAGCAAATGATTGAAAATATATTTCATAGTTAATTCATTCAAAATATTAATGTAAATAGGAATGATTAATTTCAGCATTCTTTAAACATAGGAAGAAGCTAAATGAAATTTAATCATTTATAAATAAACCTCAATAAATCTTAATGGAATATAAATTACATAAGATATTGTTTCCAAAAATGCTTAATCAGGCTCCTGTGTTATGATCTTATGCTATTTAACCCATTAGCCGCTGGTGTTGCGTTGACGCGACGGTCAAAATAAATGCGCATACAAATATAACTACCTAAGATATTTTATAACAGCAGATGATTTTGTGTAGGGAATATTATGAAGATTATTTCTCTAAAAAAATATTTGCCTTCAACAATCATTTTATTTATAATAATTAAGCTCATACTTTAAGCAAAATTTTCGACCACGTATTTTTGCTGAAAATATTTAATGAAAGAATCGCCCTCTTTATGAGTGATCTATTTTTAGTCAAGGTCACCGTTTATCAGAACATTACATCAGTCAGATGTTTATTTTTGTGTTGGGAAGGGAGGGAAAACAGGTGTTGCATTGATGCAACGTCAGCAGGAAACGGGTAGTCAATCTTTTTTTCACTCATTCGTTTCGATGTTCTGGTTCATGTTCTGGTTGTTTAAAAATGCATAGAATGAGGTATCTTACACTAGAAGAAGCCCTTCAAAGATTTTTTGATGAAGAAACAGATGATGATAATGTTAATAATGACCAGAATGAAACTGATATTGTTGCTGTTCCTCCAGACATTGCAGAGGCTAGTGACGAAGAAGAAAGGAATGGCAATGTTTTAAATAATGATAATAATATTTTACCGAATGATACTGCTGGGGAAGTTGAAATTCACGTAAGAAGTAAGTTTCAGCCTTCTAAAAGCAGTTATAGTCATACTAAAAAGTTTAAAAGGCAGAAGACTGAAATCTTGAAGTGGATAAAAAAGGAACTGTTAGTTATGTCTCAGGAAGAACATGAAGAAAGAGATAGAAGAGAAATTATAAAAGACAAAACCAAGGTAAAACATGTGCACAGATTTTCGATTTTCTTTTGGTTTAGACATTTACTTTCTTCTCGTTGAACAGACAAATATATACGCTCAGGGAAAAAAATGCCCAGAATATATTGCATCTGAAGCCTAAATGAGAAGCTTTATTGGAATATTATTACTTACAGGATATCATTCTTTACCTCAAGAAAAAAATGTATTGGTCTTTTGATAAGGACATTTCTGTTCCTGTTGTACAAGAATTGATATCACATTTGCAGTACAGGAATATGAAGCAGAATTTGCATTTGACAATAGTCAAATTGACAATACTGATAAATTATATGAGGTGAGACCGTATCTAAACTTACTAAATATCACCACTTTTTACTACTGGAAATATAAAGTCTCTTTTAGATTTCAGACGCGAGAATGCATTATTCCTTTTGCAAACTCCTATTGAGAATGTAGAATTAGCCAGAAATAGATCAGCAACAGGGAGACCTAGTAAACTCAGCATTCAAAAACCATTGCATGGAGATGGTAGACATTTTATCGTAAAGTCCGTTGATAACAAAAGACTTTGTTGTACAGAGTACCATAGCCAGACTGTTTATAGATGCAAAGTATGTAATGTAGCTTTACATCATGATTGTAACCAAGCTTTTCATCATGATTGTAATCAAGCTTTTCATGCTTGAATCTTTCAAATGAAATAATCTGTATTTGTAAAAAAAAAAAATAAAATGTATATTTTAATATTAAATTAATTACAAGTAAAGTGATTTGTAGATTTATAAAACATTATACAGCTTAAAAAGTAATCCTGCGCTCCACTCAAAAGAAACATCACACGAGTGCAATCCTACTCATTGAACATCCGTAGTCTTATTCCGCTGACGTTGCGCGAACGCAACACTCGCTTTTTCAACAGGTATGAGCATTTATTTTATTTTCAATGTAAATTTGTGTTATAAATGCTTAATTTAATATTTGTTATTATTTCCATGAGAAAAGAAACATTCCTTGTAGTTTTGGCGGTTAATGGGTTAATCTTATGCTATTTAATTTTGACATAATATGTTACCTGCATTAAGAGTATCTTTTTACTGAGAAATTTATATCATATATAAGGTAATAATATCCATGTGAAATGTTTTCTTAGCATGATCCTCATTCTGTGTTCCTTAGAAGATTTAACTCATGGAGAATTACAAATATTACATTACTTTACACACTTGATCTCTGAAGAGACATCTCATAATATTTTTTATGATGATATTTTGAAGGGAAGATTTTTCTCACTTTCAAATGGTCAAGCCAAGTAGCTTCTATATATATATAATTAGAAAACAATTCTTTTGAAAACACAAACATGTCTAGTCATTTTTGTGCATTAAGCTGCAGAAAATTTATCATTAAAGACCTAAAGTAAGAAATCCAAAACCAAACCCTCACAAAGACCAGAAATTGAAATTTTGAAAGCTTTAATATTTTACATACTGAAAAAGACATGAAACTTGCTCAAAATATATATATCACTGTATTCAAAACTTACACTCTCAGCAATATCTTTCATTTCAGTAATTGTGTCAGCAGCTTCCATGAGGTCCCGATACCTCTCTCTGAAATATAATAAATAAACAGAATGTAACAGTTAAAATTTGAATATTAAAATCAAGCCACCATGTGATAAAATATGCAAATAATCTAAGGAAAATAAATTTACATACCCCACCATCTGCCTGAGTTCTTCCTTTTTACGTTCAATGTCATTTCTAAAAAAAATTAAGTGTTAAAATTTTTACTATAATTTTAATAATTTAATTACTTAATATTCTTGAGTCAAGTTCAAGAATATTGTTTAATTAATTATTAACTTAACTTAGAATATTGTCAAGTTAATATTAAATTAAACAATATTCAACTTAGAATATTGGTTAATTTAATTATTTAATATTTAGTTCTTAGGTTAAAAGAAGTATCAATTAGATAATGAAATCTGGTATTCGTAAATTAGCATTTTTTAGACTTGGTTTCACATATTAAACCCAATGATATATCGAGAGCAATACCATTTACAATAGCTTCTAGGACTTCTGCAATACACTGTGTGCATGTTCTGTTTATGGAATAACCATATCTGACAATTTTTCTTTGTGAAAGGAGAATCTCAGAAATTTTTTATTATTTTAATATTCCTGAAACATCTTACAGCTCTGACTTCATAAACCAACATTATGCTTAACACAACTTCTCGATTTAGATACAATTAAACTAAATAAATTTAGAGACAATTAAATTAAACAATATTCGGGAATTGTTTTTTGAGGAACTAAAACCTGCAATCGCTTTTACTGTCTGAAAATATTAAAACTGTATACGCTAAATGATCCTTAAGCAATTTTTTATATTATAAAGTATCACTAAAAATAATTGTAGCTTCTGTTCTTATGTATCTCAGATAATTTTTATTATTATACCAAAGAGGGTTAGCACAGAAGATTATTAGTATCAAAACGGCATTTTGCATTGGTTCGCTATAAATGTTCATTTTACTTTTTAAATTGTTGCCACCAAATATTATCACCCTGTATTATATTTAAAGAGATTAAATACTGAAGAATCTGCATGCTCGTTTCTCACACTGTGAAAAAACAATGGTACCTAGAGCCATCAAATTTTGAATAATGTAAACCTCCACCTGAATACGAGCACCTGGAAGCCCGAATTTAGAATTTGTTTTATTACGTATTTCATATTTTGTAAAACTTTAATGAATTTTTAATTAATAAACTCAATGATTTCAAAACAAAAAATGGGAACACTGTATAGAAAAAAATGTGGTAAAAGTATATTTTAGGGTACCCCTTAGCGAAACTTGGCGATTTTTGGCGGTACATGGATACTGAGTTTGTGCAATTCTTTGACTTGTTATTTTGGCCTGTGTAGCAGCGATTTTTGGCACAAAACTTGCCGCTACGTACGCCAAAATAAAAAGTTAAAGAATTCCACAAACTCGGTATCCATGTACACATCGACCTATTTTCACTTTAAAAAAAAATCCCTGAATTGCACAAAAATGGCATTATGCACTCCCTTGACTTTATCCATGTACACATCGACCTATTTTCACTTAAAAAAAATCAGAGAATTGCACAAACTATGCTTTATGCACTCTCTTGAGTTTGTCCATGTACACATCAATATATTTTCACTTAAAAAGTCAAGGGAGCACCCAATTCTACAGTAGAGGCAAACAAAAAGTACATAATCTCAATAAACTACATTTTAAACCAAACAATAAAATAACACAAAAAAGGAAAAACCTGTTATGTATTTTAGCACTACACAAAGCAAATATCCACTTACCTTATTTAGAAATTCATTGTCTTCAGTCTGTGGCACACAAAATTCCCTAACAGCATCCAAAAACTTCCTAAAATTATCTGAACTACAATCCATATATTGGCTTCGCCACAGAAATTCACAAAAATAAGAGTCAAAAGTATACTATGTAGTTCCAGACTATGGCTACTAAGTAAACCTTCATTTACACAATTAATTCACTCAATTAATGCACTTTTCCCCTTTCCAAATTGTACAGAAACTTCAAATTAATACTACAACATTCAATCATTGTACCGTCTAAACAATGAAACAAGCAATGTACTTCCTAAGCAACACAAACCACAAAAGCCCTTGCAAAACATCCCACGATTCAAAATTTCCCAGAATAATACAAACAATTACATCATAATAGGGTTTCCATAACATTCAACTACTCAGGTTACCATTAATGATACAACAACTTGGCGATAAATGAAACAACAACTTCGTGATAATACAAGGGGTACCTTAAAGTCAACTCTAACTAAAAACGTTACCTCCAGAACACAAGACTGTCTATTGGAACTTCTAAAGAAGTGCTGTTTTAAAATAGTTTTATCCCAAAGGGACATTAGTCCAAGTGCTCTCGAAACAATACGTATGTAAATTAAAAAATATCCCTTTGGGCATAATATAAAATCTAAAAGCTTTCAGAGATTTTTTTTTTTTTTTTTTTTTTTTTTAAAGGAGAATCTCAGATAATTTTTATTATTTTAATGTTACAGAGACATCTTACAGCTCTGGCTTTAGTAATCAATAGTGCTAAAATTATTCTTAACATGACATCTAAATTTCGGGTTGATCTTTGGATTATGGTAACTTAGCGATTTTTTGGCGACCAACTCTGCTACAGCAACCCTCTATTTTTTTTTCGCCGCCATTTTGTCTTCACGAAGTAAAGACATGTTTCTTTCTTTTTATTTACTGAACACTTTTTACAACAATCTACTAGCCTACCGAATTACACTTATGCTAGAAATTTTATGTAACAAAACTGCTTAATCATGACAAAATATTAACTGCAAAATTGGGAAAAAGTGCACAATCGCAAACTCCTTGCGCGTTTTTCAGAATAGCACATACACATAAACCATTTACACGTCGACTTATTTTTACTTAAAAAAAATCCCAGAATTGCACAAAAATGGCATTGCACACACTCTTAACTTTATCCATCTACACTGCTATTTTTTCATAAATTACAAAAATTTGCACGAAAATGAAAAAAAATTCTGTGAATCTTTAAACTCGGTAAAAAGCACATATATGAAATTACCTGATCGCGAAAAAGTATATACCCTTTCCAAGGATGAACATTTCCACGTATAAAATAAATAAAATATCCAAAAACTTTTACCTTTAAATTATCTATTATATTATAAACGTCACCAACGAATTTATACGCAAACATTAAAAATAGTTACAAATATTTAAATTATTTCCATACACGTTTACTTCAACTGAAACGTATACCAAATTCCTACAAACATAAAATTCACAAAATAACTATCATTTAATTAAAATATCACTAAACCATGTACATGTCGACTTATTTAAAAAAAATCCCAGAATTGCACAAAAATGGCATTGTGCACACTCTTCACTATATCCATGTACACTGCTTTTTTCTCATAAATTAGAAAAATTTCAAGAAAATGCATGAAAATACTCAACGTATACTACTCAAACGTATTCCAAAATACTACAAATATATAACTCACAAAATCACGATCATTAAATTAAGATATAATTAAATTAAAAAACACTACTTAAAATATAAATAAGCACATACATTAAATTAATAAAAATTAGATTACAATCCTAATTACTTTAAACTAAATCATTGCTAATAACAATTTTCCAATAATACCATATTAATTTACTTACTCCTTACATTTAGAACAATGCATAAAAATAATATCCTCAAATGATTTAAAATACTAACTTACCTCATCTTCTTCAGAATCTTCATTACGTGGCACGCACAGTTCCCTACAGAAAGAGTTCCAATCGGCTGCAGTACTACTGCTAATTTCTAAATCCGAAATCCAATAGTCAACTGGCAGTCTATTCACCAAGTAATAAGAAATTAATAAAGTTCACCCATACTCAAACTACTACTTTCAGCAAACCACGTACCCTTCCTTACACTCCGTTTCACAAAATGTCCATTTTCACCAGATTTCTTGCACCGCCATTCAAACCATTCAAACTTATCTGTAATTTCCTTCCTTTCATACAATCCCAACTTATTATTATTATCAGATAAATGCATTAAAAATTTAGAATTCACTTTACATAGTGCCATGCAATCCGAAAATTAATCAACACTATTTCACACAACACACAATGAAGCTTAATACAAAATAATTTTTCCAAATTAACCCCCTTTTCCGATTAAAGAACTGTAATTCGTCCATTAATGTCACATGACATATCTCATGATCTCTCATTTCCCTCACACAAAATAATGCATAATCGGAACTGAGTACTTCCAAAGACGCCTTCAGGGGGCTTTGGTACTTCTCACATTATTACCAAAGTCCTAGGTAGTAACCTTTATCGCCTCTAAAATGTCGCCAAAGTACCAGTTACCATATTCCAAAGATCAGCCAATTTGGATACAATTAAATTAAACAATATTCAGGAATTATTTTTAAAGAACTGAAACCTTCAGTTGCCTTTATTGTCTAAAAATATTAAAATTGCATACACTAAATGATCCTTATGCAATTTTTATACAGGGCAAGCAATTATACATTAATTATATAAGCAATTTTTATACATCAATTTTTATTTTATAAAATATCACTAAAAATAACTGTACTTCTGTTCTTACATAGAGTAAAATACTGCATAAGAGTATATAATTTAATTCTAATACATCCTAGCAAGCTTCAAAAACGAAATATTTCATGTTTCACACGCTTGTTGGATGTATCCTGCTTCTTTAGATGATCTCAGAGATAAAAAATAACAAAAGAAACCAAAATGTAAATATTACCTCAATTTCTTTTCAATTTCCTGTATTTCTTTGATGGTATGATTTTCAAATAAAATATCAGTACCCATAATTTTCAACCTACAAAGGAATACACAAGTATGTCAATGCATATTCAAATGCTTGAATATTAAGTAACAAATTAATAAAAACTTCTTTATTTTAAAATTAATTAATTTTAACTTTCATTAATCAAATAATTACATAAATGAAGCATCAGATTTTCAAATAATAAAATATAGCTATTGCAACTGAATAAAGCCATTGGAATGAAACAACTATGCAAGCATTGACTCTGATATATAAACATACACTGCTCATTTTGGGTATAGTAGACTTTAACGTACCCCTTGTATTATGGCGAAGTTGTTTGATTTATTGCCAAGTTGTTTCATTTATGGTAGCCTGAGTAGTTGAATGTTATGGAAACCCTATTGTGACGTAATTGGGTGCATGATTCAGGGAAACTTTGAATCATGGGATGTTTTGTAAGCATTTCTGTGGTGTGTGTTTATTTGATTCTTTAGACGGTAGAATGGCCGAATGTAGTAAGATTAATTTGAAGTTACTGTACGATTAGGAGCAAAAGGGGAAAAGAGCTTTAATTGACTGGTGTATAAATGAAGGTTTACTGAGTAGCCATTATAAGTGTCCTGTATGTAGAAAGGCTATACGTCTAGTCGAACGTAAAAACCGTTTAGATGGATTTGAATGGGTTTTGTAGGAAGAAAGGTTCAGATGGTCATTATGTGAAGCATTCGATCAGAAAGAGTACCTGGTTTGAAAAAAAAAGTCATTTGAGTATGATTGATATTTTGATTTTTTACGTGGCTCTGGGTGTACGAAGCGAACTCGAAAATCATGGTTAGTGAATACAGTCAAAAGTCGTTAATTCGGACACCCATAATCCAGAATGATCTATAATCCGGACCTCAAAGCTAAAAACTTTCTGCACATGCGCCGCGTTGACACATGCGCATAGGCGTTTACGCGTGCGCGTAAGACCTTTTACCACTGCGCATATGCGTTTACACGTGCGCATAAGACCTTTTACCACTGCGCATATGCGTTTGCGCAAGCGCAGAATACGTTTTCGCGTGCGCGTTTTATGTATAACGGACGGTATAATCTAAAATTATCTAATTATCTATTTCAGTTAATGTTGATGATTGCGTTGTTTCTTAATCTTCGAATTGGATCCGGTTTATTATTTTTTGCAGACTGTAAGAGCAATTTTATAAAAGTAAACTTGAACTTTCGATTATGTCAAATAGAATTTCCGTTTCTGGAGCTCCCAAAGGATTGTTCAAAACGAAAGTATGTTTCGATGTCCATCAAACAAAAAGTGGAATTGCTGCAAAAATGGATAAAGACATGAAGAATGTGACAGAGAGGTTAGTGAAAACGAAAAAATTTTGATTGACAAGTTAGTCGGTATTCTCAGCACAACAATTAACGGGACTTGAACAGTGGAACTTTGTAACTGAACAAGAAATTGTGTCTGTTTATAGAATTAAAGAGAAAGTATTATCACATAAAACGAAGCAACTTAAAACAACTTACATTGAAAGAAATGTTTAATAAAGTAAACAAATAAATATTAAGCTCTTTTTTGTAAATTTTGATACCCTTCAGATTATAATTGTTCTTTATTTCATAAATTAAGGTTTCATATTTTTATTTTAGAATTTATGCATGCCATCTTACGAGATTTAAACTGATGATCTATAATCCAGAATCGCCGAAGTCCCGACGAGTCCGGATTAACGACTTTTGACTGTATTTGCTTTTCGTAGTGCTTAAATGCATAACATGTTTTTCCTTTTTTATGTCATTTTATTGTTTGGTTTAAAATGAATTTTATTGAGATTATGTATTTTTTGTTTGCCTATATTGTAGAATTTGGTGCTCCTTTGACTTTTTAAGTGAAAATATATCGATGTGTACATGGACAAAGTGAAGGGAGTGCGCAATGCAAGTTTGTGCAATTCTGGGATTTTTTTTAAGTGAAAATAAGTCAATGTGTACATGGATACCGAGTTTGCGCAATTGTTTGTCTTGTTATTTTGGCTTTGTATAGGGGCAATTTTTGGCGCAAAAACTGCCGCTGCCAAAAATTGCCCGCTTCACAAGCCAAAATAACGAGTCAAAGAATTGCACAAAATGGGTACCCATGTACCGCCAAAAATCACCAAGTTTTGCCTAGGGGTACCCTAAACCTCATTTTGAATGACAGTTTAATTTTGAAGATTTGTTAAATACTGTATCAGAATTTAAAGGAGAGTCTTCATTTAAAAATGCATTGTTCCTTCACATTCAAACCACAGAACATATCAAAATTTTGCTAGTTCTTAATCACAAGAAGCAGGCAAAGAAAATTTTACTTGATGCTGATCCCGACACCTAAAGTTTTGAAGTCTGCTATGATCTAAATAAATCTTAATCTTAATAAAACAGTTGCCAACTAGAGAAAATTGCTTAAGATATTAAAATCCAGCACAATGCAAATAAATACAGTTAATTTCTTTTCTCGAGCTATAAGAAATCAAATATTTAGATCTTTAGATTTTATCCTCTGAATGAATAAAAAGGCTAATCTTTGGAATATGGTAACAGGTAATTTGGCAAAATTTTGGTAGGGCGATAAAAGTTACTAGCTAGGACTTTAGCAGTGTACATGGATAAAGTCAAGAGTGTTCGCAATGCCATTTTTGTGCAATTCTGGGATGTTTATTTAAGTGAAATTAGGTCGACGTGTACATGGATACCGTGTATGTGGAATTCTTAAAAACGCGGCAAGCAATTTGCGATTCTGCACTTTGTCCCAATTTCGCACCTAATCTTCGTCACGATTAAGCACTTTTGTTCCATAAAAGTTCTAGCATAAGCGTAATTCGGCTAGCAGATTGTTGGAAAAAAATTTTGAGTAAAAAAAAAAAAACTTCGTGAAAACAAAATGGCGTCCAAACAATAACTAGCAGGTTGCTGTAGCAGGTTTGGACGCCAAATTTTCGTTAAAAAATCACCAAGTTACCATAATCCAAAGATTAACCAATAAAAATTTTGTTCTTGGGACCAGATTCAAAAATGTATGTATGTGTGTACATGTGTATATGTGCATGTGTGTGCATGCACACATACGTACGTACACATACATGCATGCATGAACATGAACATACATCCATACATACATTTCTGAATCAGATCCCGATAACAAAAAAGTACCCAATTATTTTTATTCCTTACAACATTCAATTTATATACATATTTTTTCCCACGTTATTTGATAGGTTAATGAATATATTTCAGCAAAATTTTCTTAACGTCTTTTTACCCTATCTTCAATAATTCTAACCATTACATTTAAGATCGATAATGTAAACAATATATCGCTTATTATATTTCTTTCATAAAAGAAATACTAATTCCACAGAGAATAATATTATTAGACCTCTTCAGTCACGTTTTAAGAATCACTGCATCAGAATTATTAACATTTTAAATAATATATGGAGCAAACGAATTTTATCATTAAAATTTTTTAATAATACATATGGGATGTCACTGATTTTGTAGTATCAATATGGTACATAAAAAGAAGAAGAATCTAACTTAAATTGAAAAAGTTTAGAAAAGTATTACCTAGTAGGAAACTGCTCTCTATAGAAAACTTTCTCTGTGGCAAAAAAATATGACTACTGAAGAAAATTTGAAACAGAAAACTAATAATTTAACATTCTGCATAAGTAAACACACTTTCCTCCTTTTAACAGCGCGTCGAAAAGGAAAACAGCGTCGAATTGTAAATAAAAGTATTATATATAAATGTATGCATATTTTCTGTTTAACGTGAAAACAATAATGAAAATTTTTCGGAATTCGTTGTTGACAGGTTATCTTCACGAGAAAAAAGGGGAAAAAATGGGAGGAGTTACGAGATTCTCTGGGTTGCATGAAGATCTACTAATAACTTTCTCGCCAAGTAATTTGGCGTCATTGGCTCATTCTTATTTCTGGAACTGTGGTTGAAGAGTGGTCTGTTTTTGATCCGTAAGTATGCTAAAATTCTATCGTAAATTTTTAATACCTTGTTTTCCAAATTTACACATTTTGCTTGATTAATTTGAAGTTGTTTGTTTTTAGATGTGCGCAATGGCAAATTTCAGGTTATTCGTCAAATAACCAAAGTTTCTATTTCTCTGGTAAGTGTTTGCTTTATATCTTATATTTATTATTAAATATGAAAAGTAATTTTTGCATGCGTATATTTTTTCATGCTCATTTTCTGTTTTATGTGCTGGTAGATTTCTGGCCGATTACCGTGTTTTTAGATAAATGCGCCATTTTCATTTAGGTCGTGTAGAGATTACTGTTTCCATTTTTTTTAAGTAACCACGAAAATTCTAACACATGTAAAAGCTTTACTAGTAAACTTTTGATTGAGGATATTTCAAGTAAATGTGCCATTTTTACTGAATTTGTGTAGAAGTTGCTCTTCGTTATGCCTTTTTTGAGCCAATATGTTAATTAGTTGTATTATTTTAATGTGTTGTTTTGCAGATTAATGCAGTTTATTTGACAGATGTGTAATGCTGTTTGTTGAAAAATGCATTAGAACCAATGATGGTAAGATCTTGGCCTAGCAAATTGGTAAAATATTACCTGCTCTTAATTACTGAATCATATTGTAGGATAAAATCTGCTGTTTATGTATGAAAATTTGTACTTTATCTCTGATTATGTGGTATATGCCCAGAATTTCATTATTAATGATCGATTCATTAAAATTACTATTTTTAATTGTCTACTTTGTTTTGTGTTGCTGCTGCTCATTCTGCATTTTTTTTTGGGGGGTTTTTTGAGTAGATATAAAAATTAATTCTTGTTTTTTCTTTTTTTTCCCTCCATGTCTCTTTTTATTGTGCTAGTAAATTTCTGACTGAACTCATTTCAAGTTGAATGTGGTATTTTCTTTAGCTCATGTAGAGATTCATCAAGTTTTTGCTGGTAAATTTTTGAGAAAATTTCAAGTAAATGTGCCGTTTTTACTTAGTTTGCATAAAAATTGTTCTTCTTTATGCCTCTTTTGAATAAATATGTCAATTCTTGTTTGTATTATTTAATATCTTGTTTTGCATATTAATACAGTTTATTTAACAGATTGAGATGCGAGAATATTCATTAAAACTAATGCGGGTAAGTTCTTGGCCTAACAGATTGGTAAAAGATTTTCTGATCTTAATTACTGAATTTTATTATATTCTAGGATAAAAGTCTGCTTTTTACGTGTGAAAATTTTTATTTTATCTGATTATGTGCCAAATTTAATGATTCAAGAAAAATGCCATTTCTGTGTGTAGCTAGTTCGTTGTTGTTGCTGTTCGTCATGCAGTTCTTTTGAATATGTATCAGTTTGAAAATTTATTCATACATGTGTATTTTTCTCATCCATTTTTGCTGTGCACTTTTCCTGTGAATATTATTTTTATTTAGTCTATATAGAATTTGCTCTTTGTATTTTTTTGAATAAGTATGATAATTAGTTCTTGTTTGTGTTATTTTAATGCCCAACAATTCACTTTCGAATGTTTGTTAATTATAGAAGCTAATTTTACTTTTCTGCTTGCAGTTTTTAACTCTGTACCTTTTATCCAGACATAAATAACATCTGCCTTTTCATTTCTAAACTTAAAATATCGCAGTCGGGAAAAGGTTTCAATTTGAAAAGTAGTGGCTTTTCTAATTGCAAGAATTTCTCTTCAGAATTATAATTAACATAAGCTGTGCATTCTCTGCTGAGTATTTCATTTCTCGAAAAGTCTAGTAGACCTTTTAAATCGCAATTTTAATCTTTAATTTTTTGGATATAATTAAGAACGAATTCATTTGGAAGCAATTTAAAAAATAAAGGCATTAAAATATTTCTGTATAAGTCAGTATATTTTTTAATGTTGCCGTGCAGCGTAAAAGCATCTCTACTTTCTCCCAGAAGTCTTGCTATTTTTCAGATTTCAAGGTTGACTTCTGTGCCTTGTTTTGCAGGTTAACATGCTTTATTTGATTGCATAGAAGTTAACTTTTCGTAAAAAGGCCTTAATTATAGTATCATTATTGGTAAATTCAAGGCTTAAACAGATTGGTGAAATGTTTGACCTTAACTACTGAATTCTGCTAATTATATGGGATATGTCCATAATTTAAATTTTCTCCTAGTAGTAAATCGATCAATTGGAACAAAATGTGAAATGAATTTATTAAAGAGTATGTCATTTGCTGTATTCATAAATTTCCAGCCATGCATATCATTTAATAATTATTTGTTTTTAGGATAAAAAAAAGTAGTAGTAGCAGATGGTCCTACCAATTTGAATAAATATGGAATTTAGTTTTTAATAGTTTTATTTATTTCATGTAATTTATGATATTAAAGTATAAAGGCTATGCTCGTGGATTTTCTAGTAAAGGCAAGTTTCCAATCAATAGCAGTTTTTTTTAGTGGTTGAGCTATTGTATCCAGCATTTTTTTAGTATGAAGACTAATCATACTAAAAAAATTTGAGCATTTTTTTCAAGTAAAAATCAGTGTGTTATAGCTGTGCCAGTATCATTCTGCATAATGACAAAAGTTCATTAAATATGTTAGTGACATTTAAGTGTTGGTTTTGATTATCATGCAATACTGAAACTAAATTCAGAATTTCATTATTGACAAAAAAATTTTTTTTTTTAATTCTGGGTATGAATGTCTGAGCATGTGTGTGTAAATTTTAAGTCATAAGAAACGAAATTAATTTGTTAAATTTTTTCTTTCATTTGATTAATTCGTTAAACTTGCTGTTATCTGTGAAAAATTTTCCTATTGAACTTTACCTTTCATTTTAGTGGCACAGGTGATAATAGATTTTTAACCCCCCAAAAATGAAAATTTCCAAGTGTGGCTATAGAGAGTATGCTCAAGTTCATAAAATAACTTAGTTTTTCTTTATCATCACCTTTCTGTTCGAGAAGCTTTTCTGCAGCATACAGTGACCACCCCTTTTCTATTATAAGAATACAGTCAGAAGTCTTTAATCTGGACGTCCATAATCCGGAATGATCTATAATCTGGACCTCAAAGCTACAAACTTTCTGCGCATGCTCGTTTAATGTATAACGGACGGTATAAGCTAAGCTAAAATTATCTTATTCAGTTAATGTTGCAGATTGCGTTGTTCCTTAATCTTCTAATTGGATCCGGCTTATTTTTTGCGGACTGTTAGAGCAATTTTATAAAAGTAAGCTTGAACTTAGTAGATTATGTCAAAAAGAATTTCCGATTCTGGAGCTGCCAAAGGATCTACAAAGCGAAAGCATGTTTTGATGTCCATCAAACAAAAAGTGGAATTGCTGCAAAAAATGTATAAAGGCATATCCTTTGTTTCTCTAACCATTCCAAAATCTGTTTATCAATTTTACATGCTCTGCTGGGGGGGGGGGGGGGGGGAGGAACATCACTGCGCGCAATGAACTGGAAGTTGATCTGTCAGCACTATCCTTATATTCAGGGCAGATGTTTTTATTTTATTCGGCTTATAATTCCTTGCTAAATGTAGTATTTCATCTCAATGTACTCTGTTTTTGATATGATTTAAATCAAATTTCTCGTCATTATATTACGGATACACATCAAATAGTTTTCTGATTGCAATTTTCTAATTTCGACTATGCGTAATGTATTCTTTACGCATGCATGCGTTGTTGAAAGAAATGTTTAATAAAGTAAACAAATAATATTAATTTTTTTTTTGTATATTTTGATATCCTTTAGATCATAATTGCTCTTTATTTCATAAATTATCTTTTCATATTTTTAATGTTATGTTTTCTGCATGCCATCTTACCAGATTTAAATTGATGATCTGTAATCCGGAAGTCCCAACGAGTCCGGATTAAAGACTTTTGAGTGTAGTAATTTTAGAAATTTATCTGCATGTCTCCTGTGGACTTTCATTTAATAGATAACTAAAGCCAGTATGGAAATTAGGACATTTTTTATATTGAAGAATAATTCATTGCTGCCTACTCTCCTTTTTTAAATTTTTAGTCTTAACAAAGGAAAATGTTTCTCAGAAATAAATGGAATGTATTTAATTAAACTTAAATTAGGCAAATTCCATTCCCTCAATCTCTAACGATTTTCAAAATTTTTAAATTCTATTTCATTTGAATTGTACTTTTTCTTGTTACATTTTATTAAATTTCATTTGGTCAGAGTTGTCTTAATCTGTAGTCATTTCTAAATTTTTATATAAAGATTTAAAAAATGGAATTAGCCAAACAGAATTGAGTTTCAAATAGTTCAATAATCTAGTCCATGTAAATTTGAACTGAATTTTAATTTGATTTTTCTATTAATTCATTACATTTATTTAGGCGCCTAGAATGTGAACATGGTAAATAAAATGGCAAGTACCCATTCCTCAGTATATTTTGGTGGGGAAAAAACTTCTGAAATTTATGTTCAGTTTGTAGTAATATTATTCAGTTAACTTCATATTTGTTTAGGAATTTCACAGGGTGGGTGATCTTCTGTGCAAGATACTGAGAAAATTTTGATATTCTTTATGCTAAGAATAATTTCAAGAATTAATAAATTTCAGTTTTTTTATATGATAGACTGATTATTCAAAGTAATATACACCAAGGTCACCTTGGATGATCAAGAGCTTGTATCATACATGCATATTAACTGTTATAGGATAGCTATGGACTTTGGTCCTTCAAATTGTTTTATTAATATATATACAGTATTCAAAGAACTACAAAAGGGTGGAATGTAGTGAATAAAACATTTTTGCTTCTGATAGAAGTGTACAACTGACTGAAAAATGTAACAGCCATCGTTAAAATTCAACATCATTTGAAAGA